AAAGGGCTAGCTAGTCCTGATTTAGTGCAACCTAGCAGATTTGCAGGTTTGAGTGAAGATGTTGGGAGCATCAGCTCAGGAGTAGCTGTATTAGAGGAAGCTGTTACTTTAACAGCCGAGGTAACAGCCCCTCTAGTACGGGTGTGGATCAAAATGCAAGGAAGGCAAGACAGGTTGTGGTGGTAGGGGACTCTATCATTAGGAGAGTAGATAGGGCAATCTGCCGCTTTGATCAGCTCAACCGGACAGTTTGCTGTCTCCCAGGTGCTCGGGTCCGGCATGTTACTGACAGAGTGGATGGATTATTGGGAGGGGATGGGGATGACCCAGCGGTCATGGTCCATGTTGATACCAATGACAAAGTAAGAGGAAGATGGAAGGTCCTAAAGAATGATTTCAGGGAATTAGGTAGCAAACTTAAGAAAAGGACCTCCAAGGTGGTATTCTCTGAGATATTACCTGTGCCACGTGCTACAGTGGAAAGGCAGCGGGAGATTAGAGAGGCCAATGTGTGGCTTAAGTCTTGGTGCAGGAAGGAGGGCTTTGGGTTTTTAGAGCACTAGGCCAACTTTGCGCTTGGGTACAACCTGTATAGTAGTGATGGATTGCACCTAAACGGAAGAGGGTCTGCAGTGCTGGGGGATAGGATAGCTAGAGGGTTGGAGGAGATTTTAAACTAGTAGTAGGGGGGGAGGGTCATAGCAATCTACAAAATGGAGATAGGACAGGAAGGAGATGGGCTTTAGCTCAAGATAAGGGGGTTGGAGACTGGGGGAGGGGCAAGCTCAGAAGAGAGAAGGTATGTAATGTTGAAAATTCACAAAAAAGTACAAGTGATTCATTATATTAAATGTATGCTTACTAATGCAAGGAGCCTAAAATAACAAAATGGGGGAACTAGAGGCAGTAGCATACACTAAACAATATGATATAATAGGCATAACTAAAACATGGTGGGATGAGACACATGACTGGGCAGTTAACTTAAATGGGCACATGTTATTTAGGAAGGATAGGAAGAACAAGAAGGGTGGTGGGTTATGTTTGTATGTCAACCATGATTTAAAGCCAAATCTTAAGCAAGTGGAATGTGATGAGGAAAATGTGGAAGCTTTATGGGTAAATATCTGCTTGGAGGAAAAGAAGGGAAACCAACTATTGGTTGGGATATGTTAGAAACCACCTAATGTTAATATTGACGAAGAACAACAGCTGTTTGAGCAAATTGAGAAAGATGCAAATCTGGGTAACACTTTCATTATTGGAGATATTAATTACCCGGACATAAATTGGGACAGAGGGACTAGTAGCACAGCAAAAGGAATTAGGTTTTTAAACTTGTTAAATGACACCTTCATATCACAACTTGTACAAGCACCAACTAGAATGGACGCTTGTCTGGACCTGGTTTTAACAAACAACGTTGATCTTTTGACCAACATTCAAGTAGGTGAGCTCTTGGGAAATAGTGATCACAATATAGTGTCCTTTGAAATAAACTCAAAAAAAAACCAAAAGCACATGGGGTATACTAAAACATATAATTTTAAAAAGGCCAATTTCAATAAGTTAAGGGCAGCTTTACAATATATTGACTGGCATAAACTCTTTAGTGAAATGAACACGGAGGTTAAATGGATAATCTTCCAACAACTATTAGAAAGGTACATTTCTTCTGGGGCGTGGCTAACTGCCGAACCGAGCGGTCGCATGTGTTGTATAATCCTTCTCTCACCACCAATACTTCCAATTGGTATCCTTTTGAGAGAAATCCACTCTGCGTTGTGTTTTAATAGTGAATGTAATATCCCTGTGTAACCTCTTCCAAGAACTAACATATATCTTTATCCCCTTGTCCAGATAAATATATGACTAGCACTACTAAGGTATTCTACCCAATATTACAAATAAACAGCCAACACCATAGATCTTACCAGAGAGAAATATTTACTTAGAATCTGCCCAATTAAATATTACAGAAGAAGAATGTTACAGAGTTATAGTATTACAGTTACAATACATTCATAACACGCATACATTCCATCTATCTAATACTATCTGCTACATTGCGTATAATAATATCTGCTACATTGTGTATAATATTGGCTACATTGTGTATGTGCTGTGCATGTTATGGGCAGCTTGTGTGTCTTACCAAAACCTAACCTAATGTGATGTCAGTATCTTCTATTTTTAAAGGAATTGGTTCCCATGTTGTAAATAGCCAAATTCCTCAGCTCAATTTGACATGGAAATGTGATTTACTTTCCCAAGGCCCAAAGTGTTGTCTATCCTGTAATTTTATTTAAGTGTTAACTCTCCCAGCCATCCCTTTTCCTCTAACCCAAGGTGTGTTTTCCTAGATAGGGACTCCTTTGAAGACCAGTTGATATGTTAATGTGATTTACTTTCCCAAGGCCCAAAGTGTTGTCTATCCTGTTATTTTATTTAAGTGTTAACTTTCCCAGCCATCCCTTTTCCTCTAACCCAAGGTGTGTTTTCCTAGATAGGGACTCCTTTGAAGACCAGTTGATATGTTAATGTGATTTACTTTCCCAAGGCCCAAAGTGTTGTCTCTTCTGTTATTTTATTTAAGTGTTAACTCTCCCAGCCATCCCTATTCCTCTAACCCAAGGTGTGTTTTCCTAGATAGGGACTCCTTTGAAGACCAGTTGATATGTAAATGTGATTGGTGCCTTTCAGGTGCTGTATCTTTTCAGCTATCTAAACAGAAACTCCCTTTGAAGATAATTCCTGACCTCCCATACACACAGACTTAATCAAGCACATATTAAACAGATATATACATAATATTTTCCCCAACAGCATGGAGTGAGAGCTCCGTGCTTTGGATGACTTCCAAGCTCACTAATCGCATCACACACAGCCCTCCAGCGACTGTCAAGCCTGGGAACTTAGCCCCTAAGATGGCTCCAGCCAAACAAACAAAATTAACGGACCAAATCCGGCCCGCGAGAAAGGACCGTGTGCGGCCTACACAAGATGGCGACGACGAGCAGGCCTGCTCGCAACCTGCTGAGAGCTCACCAAATACCGAAGGGGACTCCAGCCCATACACAGACGCCCCGGTAACGGAGAAACGGCTGTTCCTTATGCTGCAGGACTTTCGAGTCACACTGCAATCTGACCTCAAGAGGGTGACCAGTGAGATCAAGAGGGAGATCTCTGACCTGGGAGAACACACTAACCAGCTAGAAGCACGCACAGAAGACATGTGCACTGAACAGAATACGTTGGCGAACACAGTACAGCACTTAATGGAGGAACAAGCCCAGCTCAAACGTAAGCTAGCTGATTTAGAAGACCGGTCCCGCAGGAATAATGTTAGGTTCCGCGGGATACCGGAACGCGTGGGCACAGAAGAACTCCCAGCATATCTCAAAAGACTTTGCGCAACTCTGCAACCCGATATAGCAGAAGGAGCATGGCTCCTGGATAGAGCCCATCGGCTCCCACGACCACCGAGGTTGGCACAGGATACACCTCGCGACGTAGTTGCCAGATTTCACTATTTCACCTCCACGACAGCTGGGAGAATGGCGGATGGCGGGATCGCCGACCAAAGCATAAAGGACTGTGCTCCTAGGACTCTCTCCCTTGCCGGAAAGCTGAGTGGGGGACATGGTGTCGCCCAACCCACGTAACTATATGATATGCGATCCAATACCAACGCATGGGGAAAATGTATATAGTCCAATTGATATTTGAGCCGCGTGTTGTAACTGACCAAACATAACGATGGCGGGGGGAGGGGTCCTGGGAGTGTTGTT